CAAAATTGAATGTATCTTCCGCTACAACATCGAAATATACACTACTACACGTGTGTGTGTTGAGAGAGAGAGAGAGAGAGAGAGAGAGAGAGAGAGAGAGAGAGAGAGAGAGAGAGAGAGAGAGAGGGTACTTCCATCGATAGGATAAGCAAAATCGAATAAATCTGCCCCTGGAACATGGAAATATATTTTTTTGTTTTTTTTTTGTGTGTGTGTCTCTACGAAAACCTTTTCCGTTTGTGTCTGTACGAAAACTTAGCAATGTCCGGTAGGGGTACATTGCAAAGATGGGATCCGGCGTGTCTCTGCGAAAACTTAGCAACTGCTGGGCCATTTTGCAAAGTTGGGCAGCGGGTAGGGGTACATTGCGAAGATGGGATCCAACTGATGGCTTGGGTGTTTCGCAAAATGTTTTGTCGGCGTCGTTCGCCGCAGCTACGCTGCAGCGGGGTCCACTTGTATTTATTTATTTGCTGTTCTATTTTTGTCTGTTTCAGGCGTTGTTTCGGACTTGCAGTACGTCCGAGCAGACTTACGGTCTGTTCAGACCAAGGCCGCAGTTTGTGCCTTCTCCATCTGGGGGCAGGCCCTTTCAGGCCAGGTTCATTTTTTGTCCAGTAGCGGACACTCCCTGCTGCATCAGCAGGGAGGGCCTGGACGTCCGGTAGGCACCAAGGCAGGCCATTTCAGGCCAGGACCAGGGGCACACCAGTGAGGCCCAGCTCTATACATAACTGGGCCAGGCCAGGGCAGATATACAGTTCGAGTACCTCACTTCTTGGGCAACATGCTGCTGGAGCTGCGCTATACAGCGCTGCGCTAGGGGTAGAGGCGTAGGCAGGGAGAAGGGTGGAGGCCATACCGGCAGCGACGGAGTACATACCTGGGCGCCATAGCTGAGCTCCGCGCCAGCGACCTACAGCATAGCGATACGCCGGCGTTAGTACCTGGCAACGGTTCCCTGCAGGAGACAGCAAGGAGGACAACATCTTCTTCTTCTTCTTCCTGTTCTCGCCCTCCTTCTTCATTCCTCCTCCTCTTCCTCCTCCTTTCAGAGAGAAAGATAGAGAGAGAGGTTACAGGCAGAGGTTACATCGGGCTATGAGGCCCAGGATCTGATTCGACATTTTTGTGGCAGAC